GTATGAATATTGTGGAAAAACCTATCCCTGAAATCATCACACACACTATATATTTATATAAATCTATATATAGTATTTTATATGCCGATTTTAAGATATTAATATTGTTACGAAATGTCCAGGCGCAGTAAGATAGCTTCCCTGCAAAGCAGCTTTAGGGTTGCCACATTTTGCGAGAAATTGCCCATTTGGTGACAAAATTGGTGATATGCCATAGACGGATAGAGAACCTTCTGGAACCAATTCTTAATGGTTTAGCTAAGACTGTTCTTGAACACATAAACCCTGCTGGTACGTGGAGAGTGAGTTAGTGTTTTGTCTAGGGAGTTGATAGTCAGTGAGTGTCTTGAAGTCTAGTGCGGAATTGGTTGTCGAGTGCATCTAGAGAGTCTTTTGTCTTTTAGTGTATTGCGAGTTAGTGCATCGCTGAGTTTTATCTTAGAGTGTGTTGAGCTCTGAGAACGACCAAACCAAGTCGGGAGTTGTACTCTAGTATATCATCGAGTGCATCGTGAGTTGTAGCGTGGAGATTCTTGAGAGTACGTAGAGTTCCGAGAACTACCGAGCAGAGTGCTTTGCCGTGAATCTGTCTCCACCGTTATAGCCTGATAGTCTGAAGGCTGTGTTGCTGATTGTTTCAGCGTGTTTATAGTAGTTCTTCGATGACTGTAAACATGACTTTGGAGTTGTCTTGAATAATACTGGCAAATAAAGTGTGTTTTGTTACTTGTTATATCTAAAAAAATTTTGTTTTTAATACTTTTAACTTTGATTCATGGTGCCGGACAAAATTAACAAAAAAAAAAAAAAAAAAAAAAAAAAAAAAAATCCAATATCAAATAATTCACATTCAAAATCTAATTCATAATATTCATATATCATATCGAAATTCTTATAAACAAATCTAATTCATAATAATCAAAAGATGAATCAAATAAACAATCGTATATCATATCTATCAATCAATCGTATAGTGGTAGTACAATTTAACATTTAGGTTTGCGTTGTGAGTAACCTATGCAAAAGGAAATATCAATAACTCCAAATTCAATTAAACTCCATGTTTCTTAAAAGCCTCCCGGCTCAAACAAATGGAAGGACATGACAGACCACAGAAACTACACTAAATTAAACAAATGAAACATAAAATGCATATCAAACACATTTATTAATTTCTAGAACATTCAATCATATGATAACTAGGTAAACGGGTTAGTCCCCTACAATTTAACCTTAAGATGCAAATTAACATATATATCATTTTAAATCTTACACTCATGTTAGGTGTACAATTTTTTTTTTTTTTTTTTTTCATTACATAACTCACTAGTTTAAATAGAAAAGACAAAGAAGGAAAAATCACTCACAGGGTGAAGTTCATACGTTAAACTCCTATGCCATCATCGACTGATTACTATGGAGTGTTAATAGTTCAACAGATTGTCCAACTCATTTTGTTGATCCTTCGAAGAAATCGGGAATGCCATCATCAACTGATTAATACGGAGTTCTAGATAGTTCAACAGATAGTCCAGCTGCTTTTAAATCAGGAACGCTACACCTTCAGCAAAATCAAGACTCAAGGAAATGACAGGTATCAGGATGCTTCCTTTAAATCAGGAACTGTCTTTATCAGGAATGCTAACGCTTCAACAAAATCAAGACTCAAGGAAAACACAGGTATCAGGATGCTTCTTTTAAATCAGGAACTGTCTTTATCAGGAACGCTAACGCTTCAACAAAATGAAGACTCAAAACACAGGTATCAGGATGCTTCTTTTAAATCAGGAGCACTTCAATAAATTCAAGACCTCCCCCCAAAAAAATACTTGTATTAGAAAAAGGTAGGGAGATCCGGGACGAACACCTGTATTAAGGTAACCTCGAGAATGTCAAATTAAAGTTCTTGGAAAAATATAACGAAGAAGCAGCAAGCTATATTTTGCATAAGCACTTAGTCTCAACTCGAGCAAAATTCTCATCAGCTGAAAGCCGACAGAAATTCAAGACCGCAGCCCGCTGGTACACAGCATTCGCGAGAGCAAGACCCGCAAGGGGGATCAAGCCCCCGCCACTCGTTTTCTTCTTTTACTCTTCTTGAAACTCAGAATCAGAATCAGAATGATCTTTAGCCTGGTGCAAGCACCCAGGAAATCTCAGTTTCTCCGTCTCTGTGAGTTCATAGGCTTTCAAAAAAAAAATCATAAAATTAAATCTTACCAATCCCGGAATTTTATGTTATTTAAATTGAGAAAATGACACACTCATGACGAATCAAACACCAGAAAATCTGACAATGCAATCTGAAAAACATCTGTACTCACAACGTGAGAAAAAAAATAGACCCCCCAACTAACAAATGAAACTAAGCTTTTACGAGAATCCAATTACCAGCCACCCTCCCCCCTATCTTGAAGTAAGAAAACTGCAACCTTAACAAAGCGACAGGAAAATGATTTCTGTTTCACACGCCAAGAGTTAAAAGGGCGACACACAACTCCCAACTGCCTCCATTGTTAGTAAAAGGCTATAACCAATAAACCAGATGTGTGTCCTCGCAACCGTCTTCCGCCTTTGTTACAATTCCTACTCAAGAATAACGAGTTAAATAAAACCTTAAGAGCTTAAGAATACTTTTTTTCCAGATTAAAATACACATGAATACAAATAAAAATATTAGAATAATAATGACTTGAAACACATATTAATAATTGAAATTCGCGACATAACATACTTCATCAAGTGTCGTCATTATTCACTCCAAATCAACGAACCCGTACGAACGTAAAGAGAAGAAAAACACATAACAATATACTTAACTGAGCTAACTCATATCCAAGAGACAAAAATTTTTTATTCACTTGAGTTAATTTACTCTACCACCACTGCAAGTCAGCAGATCTTCATGATTATAACTGCACAAATTTCCTTAATGATCAAGTGATTTGGTGTGTTGTGTATAAAACAAAACAGATGACAAGTTATATCTATTGATTGATTTCTTGAATAATTACCAATATTAATCAGCTTTCTTTCCAGCCAACAGATTTTAGAAATTTCTTTATATACAAACTCTACAAATTTCGGCATCTTAACCAGTTATATACAGATAGCCATAGTATGGCATTTGACTGAATTTATCTACTTTAAAAATTTAAATATCTTAAGAAAAGTGTTTGTGTCTAAATAGCTCCACTTTTATCAAATAATTTATCTTTTGACACTGTACTCCTTTTTATGTGTATGTTCAAATTTTCAATACTGTCAGAGAATATCAACAATTTCTAAATTTTCATTGTGTACTGCGCAGTGAATAAAATAAGAACAATAGTTTTAATATTCATCATCTTAATATAGCAGATTAACATGACGTTTTATAACAGAAATTCACATGACACTGAAAAATTATCATTTAAAAGGGAAAATATTTTAATAGGAACAACTAAATGCAAAACAGATTTGATATACAACCACAAAAATTACATTTCCAGTGTTTCAAATGTAATGAATACAAGTAAAAAAAAGCAGCATATATCAATTTTTTATTTATTACTTTGATTAAATAAGGATATGTAAACAGTATATCTAAGCATAAAACTCAACTATGAAATCTTTCATGTTCTAAGATAAAATGCAACTTATAAAATTTTTAAAGCCAGTAACAATAAAGATTGAGATTAATATTTTCTCACATTACAGCAAAAGTCTTGTAATCCAGCAGTTTGGCACATCAAATAACCTGGCATCCCTTAACATTAACTGACATTTCAGCCATACAGTGGAGCTACTAGTATTTCATTTAGCAAAATCTGGAAAGGTTCAGCAGCTGCTTCATGTCCTTCTAATATTTTCAATTAGTTCCTCGTATAAAATTTTATGTTTATATCTTGTTTGCTTTTATTCATGCTAAAGGTTCATAAAAATGTTGATAAGGAAATGAAATGAAAACTTCTGACCAAGATCACAGACTTCCATTTCATTCCCTTATTAGCAGACAGGGGAAGCATTAAATGCATTTGCGAAAAATTAATCAAAAAGGTGTATCATTAGAGAACTAATAAAAAACTAATAACTAATAACGTAATCTTCCTGTAAATATGGGCATCTGGAAGACCAAATTTGAAATTTGGTTTTATTATCGATTTCATATTTTATAAAACTAACGAATTTTTGATAAACAAAGTCAATGGCAATGGCAAGGTTGTACAGAGAAAACATTTTTATCTCCAGCGTGTGAGACAGTGTATCAGAAATTCTAAAGATCTGTTCACTTAAAAATTATTTTGCGATATCGCTCTTGAACTGAATTTTATGGTTTAAGTGCAAACAACATGATATTTAATAAATAAAGGTAACACACAAAATGTAAAGAAAAGTCCCTTTGGATATAATTTAAAATCTAAAATCTTTCAGATTTTATTATTTTTTTAAGGCAAAAGAAGCAGAATGTATGAAAGTGATGAACAGCTTTTTTTGAAAAGATTTCATGCACTATCAATAATGTTGATTTCAAAGTAGTGGTGATTAAATATAATTTAAAAATGAACAAATTTATTTATTAATAAATTTTACTCCAAAATATGTTCTCAGAATTACCACATGCAAATTTTTTCATTTCTTAATACATTCAATAATATAAAAAATCTTTTATGGCATTGTACAATTTTGATTTGATAATCTAGCATCACTGAAGTACCAAATGTGCCAGACTTTTGCTGCAATTAGTATTAGTTTATTGCATACAAATTGGACAAACTGATAATAATAATGTAACTTCATTTTATAGACAAAAGAGTAGACTAGTGGAAAACTTAAGGAATGACAATGAAAATTTATTTTGGATTTAAAGTATGTCTTAAGAATTTTAACAGCACTATTTCTGAAGTTCTACTGAATATAGTTATCTTTAATTTCATAGCAACAATTAACTGCATTACTTAATTATAATTTATATTAATGCTCTACTTTTTTAAAACAGAAAAAAAAAATTAGTATTTTACCTTTAATTTTATATCATCATGTAATCCCTGAATTTTAATTTCACCTCCTAATACAGCTTGGGAAAGACTTATCACTCCATCTGTGTGAATATCTGCACCTTCTCGTCGGAAATATTTACTTTCTAAAACCTGTAAACAATATTTTCATCAATAACATTTAGAAAATTCTTAACTCTGCAGCCTTTCATATAGTATACCATTCTTCTGTATATAAAAAATATATATTATACCAAGCCAGAAATTAAAGTGTCAGTGCAATTAAAATTCAAAATATGCTATAATATAAGAGAGAAAGAGCTTAAAGAGGTGCTAGTGGTTGAGCATTTACATTATGCTAACTTAAAAAACTTTAACAAAAAATGTGGACCTTTTTCCCAGTCACCAACTTTTTTTATTTCTTGCATCTACACTCCTGCTAAGAAAATAAGCAACAAGGCAAAACATGGACTAAGACAAAAACTATTTAATGAATATGTGTGAAATTGATTTAAGAGGTTGGTGTGGTGTTACTAGATGACACAGAAACAAACGAAAACAACAAAGACAATACATCAAAGGCATACAAACACACATGTATTATGACCGTCATATTGCAAAAGACCAAATGATTTGGAAGAATATGGAATGGAAACAGCACCCTAATAATGGGTACCAGCTGAAATGCATATTTGACAATGAGAAGGCAAGCTGGCTCAAGGAAGGTTGCCTGGTGGCATACTGCAACCTCCTATCCATTGTCCCAACATATCCCACATGTGCTCTATGGGATTCAAGTCCAGTGATCTAGCACGCCTCACATTTGTGGAATGGTTTAACTCACCAGATAACTTTGCATCACTTGTGCTCTATACAGACACAAAAACTGGACATTATTCATCAATAAATATCACATTTGCTATCCATTGCAGAGATAAAAGAATGCACAAGAGGGTGTAGTATTTCATTGTGATACTGGATGGCTATGATGGAACCACCAGAAATCACATAGAGATCAGTATGGCTGTTTGTTGCTATTCCAGCCCCATACAAGTAAATCTTCTATTCCATAATGGTCTCTTTTAATTATGCTTGGCACCTGACAACATGTTCCTGGCTCAACCATTGTCATTTGGGAATCATTCTGGATGTTAAATGTAAAGAGTACATGCACCCTCTGCTCTGGTGTCTAACTGTGAAGTTTATGGGCTCAGTTCAACTGTGCTCCAACACACGATGGGGACAAAGGAACACAAAAACACAGGTCATCAGACATATAGTTCACCTTCATGCAGTCAACGCAGAACAGTTTGGTGCATTACCCAGTAACGTGACATCAAGAAGCACAGCATGCTCTGTCTTACAATCTAAAAAAAAAAACCTCAGCTTAACTAGACATTAACTAAATTTGCATTCTGGTAGGAAATGGAAAGGAGAAGTGCCAGTAAAGGTCCAAAATATAAAATAACATGCTAATTAACATAAAGGAACCTAATATCTTTCCTGCTAAAATTTAAGTAATTATAAGGAAGGTCTTTAAGGAATTGGTAAGATCTTAAATTCTAACAAAAACATTACCTTACAATGAGCCAACCTTTTACAAACTAATAGATCTTAGTAGAGTATCTGTGACCCTCTGAAATGTGGTGGGAGCTCTGTATAAGCCAAATGGCATTCTCAAAAAGATATAAATGTCTTTGTGATAAATGTAGGGTTTTGACACATTTTCTGATTTTGCACATATTTGAAAATATCAAATGTATCATCATCATGTAATTTGTTGATTTAATCTTCCTAATTATTTCTTCGATTATGAGCAGTGACTAAACAGCATATTTAGTAATATTGTTTAATTTTTGGTAATCCACTGCAAAACATCACACCTTCTGATCCATTGGTGAGAGATTATTCTTTTTATAGCATATTACTACAGGACTAGCATAAAGGCTACTTATGGGAATTATGACCTTGCTCCAATATTGTCAATATCATTTGTCAATATCATTGTCAATATCATTTGTCAATATCATTGTCAATGTTGCTTGTCAATATCATTTGTCAGCAATATGTTTTTCAATTATTTGCTCTAACTTTGTCATTACAGTAGTGCTTTGCTTTACAGGCGAGGAGGCATTTTCTGTGTCTATGCTGTGGTTTACAATTTGACTTAGACCTGGAGTTTTGTCATACAATTTAGCAAAATGACTCACCAACTGTTTCAGCTTGTGTTTCTCTTCGGCCATCAGGTGATTCAGATTAATTGCTGGATGTTATGCTTCTTTGTTCTCAACTGCATTCTCCAGCTGTACTGTGGTTTTCTGAAAATTAATTTTAGCTCCCACCACTTTTAAAAAAATCCATCCCGCAAATTATTGGGACACACAGATTTTTCATAACAAAGAAAATTACTTTCCACTGCTCCTTACACATGTACACTGTTTGGCTTGGGCAATAACTTTTGCTCCTTCAACCACAAACATTCCATATTGTTCAAAATGTTTTTGAAAAAAAATTCTCCACCAAAAAACTACTTTGAGCCCCTGTATCAAATAGTTTATCTGCTGGAATACAATTTAATAATGTTTGGATTAAAGGCACAACCTTATGACTGCCATATTCTATTGAATTGTAGAGAGATTTTTCTTGCTTCCGGGGTAACTGTACCCTCTTACTTTCAGTATCCCTTATAAATTCTTACTATTCCCCCTGTTTTCTCTTGGTGATTGTCACTCAGTTAAAAATTTCTTTCTGTATTTAAAATGTTTATTACCATTATTATTTAAAATGTTTATTATTATTAGTCTCTGGCCATATCCTGATGTACACATTTCTGAAACCCTCCTGCTTTTAAACTTCGCTATGAGCACAAACAAACTCCCAAGCATGTTTGGGTTTCTCAATTAAAAAAAGTCCTGACTTTATGAAAACATTCTAGGCAGGATAATCTGAATCACATCTGCATTGGGCCTTTTCCCACACAATAAATTTACGAATTGTACATTTCTCAATGTAAATTCTCAGTACTTCAACCTTAATCTGGTATCTGCTTTTAATTTTGCCCTACTTTTTATGATGGGAAAAGCTTTTATCAAAGCAGTTTTAAATATTTTAAAGTTTATAATTCTTGCTGCCTGATTCTCCTAATAATAATTTGCTGATGTAATTGTATCACCTCAGCATCTGTCCTTGAAGAACTGTGGTTGCTTTAGTGATTTTTTCCTACTTCTCCAACTGGGAAATGAAAAAAATGGCAGTCTAGTTGTTTGAAGAATGTCATTACAGAACTTCTGCCATCAAAAGTCACTGCATCATATCCGCAATGTATCCAGATCCCTAAATGGGACTTACTGGCACCAGAAGAACCTGTGACGTTGAGGGGATCCGAATAAATGTTGAATTTTCCTCAACTGGATTCTTACCTTTATTAAGACACCACTGCACAATTTAGTGTTTTGCAATCATCTAAATAGTATCCAAATGCTTGGTGGATGCTAAAAGAATTATGGCTAAGTCTAAAATAACACAGCACTAGGAACAAGGGGCTCCCAAACCTAGGTTTAGAAAAGCCCTTACATGGTTACAATGCCTCAACCTCTAGAGGCAATGCAAGGAGGCATACCCCCACCCATTAACCAAGGAGACTTATATGATTCAGACAGTCTTGGAAATTGCACAGAAGTCAGAGGCAGACGGCAACACATCCACCAACAAAGAGAAGAAAGTTGTAAAATGTAGTCCATCCCCAAGTGTTGACTAAGGGGGGCTAAACCCTCAAGGACAATCTTCGAAATCTAACCATGTAATGCCCCCATAACCAAGAGGCAGACAAGAAAGTGTCACATGGCCCCTAGCAAGCCTGAACCTACCACCGAATAAAAGATGTTTCTAGTCCTAAGTACAGATTCTAGCCACAACTGAAATTTGGAAAGGGTGTAAAAAGACTCTTTACTTAAAACTAAGAACAGAAAGCACACTTAGTACTTACAACTCATACAATCAATGTGGGGAGATAAAGTAACAATCAGTCAAATGTGAAACTTGAATTCAAATAAGCTGGCAGCCAAAGGATACACAAATTAATCTACATAAAGTTGGCTCAAAACTTAACTGGTATGGAGATTCAAAATTAACAATTATAATTTTAAGATTGAAGACAAGAACTCTTATCTAAGGTAGCAACTTAGTAATGTGACTGTTAGTAATGTTTGAGAGGCAGAACATGCTCTTTCTTACAATCTAACAACCTCAGCTTAAATACACATGAACTAAATTTACATTATGGCATGACAATAGAAGGGGGAAGTGAAAGTAAAGATAAAAAACATGCAACAACAGGTTAGTTAACATAAAAGAACTTTATAATTCTTATATATTATACTTCATTTTTGGAACTTAAGTGGATTGCTTGAAATTAAGAAATGTTTCCCTCAGTGACCTGCTGGTCAGAGGTTGCCAAGGCCTGGATTAAAATGTAGTAATTGAAGCAGTAATGATAAAAATATGACGGCTAGAATATTAAAACATATTTGCTTTTGCAGGACTTTTATATTAGACAAAAAATTATTTATTCTTATTCATTATTCAAACAAGGCAGCAAAACTCTTACCCTAAATGTGACTAAAATTTCCTGTTGTCCAACTTTAACTCTTACAGTTTGTCCATCTTCAACACCTATAAATTAAAAACTTAAATTACTTTCTAATGGAAATTAGCTCATGTTACACAGAAAAAGGTCGTGAACATAGCCAGGATATTTGGTGGGATTTGGATTAGAAATTGTAATTAAAGTTTAAAATATATTTAATCAAAAGGAATTTAATTCTAAATAGAAACTAAATGTTTGAATAACATGCAAATTCAGTTTTCTTTTTTACTTCTTTTTTTTAGCCCAAAGGCATTAGCCTAGAAGGGCTATTAATTTTGCTTTGGCCCAAGTAGCAAAGTAACGTATGGCGTTGCAAAAACTTTGCAATATGTCCTCTTTAAGATGCCCAGGAAATTCCACTGTTTTGCAACCGTTGCAAAGATGTCTTTATTACGTCTTTGTAGATGAGGTTTTTGTCGCATAGGTGCCGTTATTGCATCTTTCACAGGTGATATTTTGGTTGTGAAAGCATCGTATCACGCCGCCTAAATATTCGCAAAATTCCACCTTTTTACAACACTTGTGAAAATGTCGTTTTTATGTCCTTGTGTTACATAGTGATTTATGCAGAAAAATAAGCTTAATAATTAATACATTTTTCTTCTTTTTTAAAATTTTGTATTCCTTGTATTTTTCTAAAGTTTAAATATTTAATCATTCCTGAAAACCAGACGATAATACAATTTTTTCTCTTTAGACTAAATATGTATAATTAATAATAGCCTTAATTATTTTCAGTACTTTAAACTATATTTTTTAAATAACTTAAATTCTAAGTTATGATTATTTAAGATTTCATAATTTTTTTCCTGAAGTGAGAGTAATTATGAAAGTGGTTATTATAAATATATAACATTAATAGTAGGTTTTAAGTAAATAAAACTCAATCAGCCATAAATAAAAGTAAAGATATATATGTGGGTAAAAGAAAAGTGCATTTTTGATAACAGCATTATCACATTTATTTCTGTTAAATCTCAAAGACATTGAAAACTGCCCGTGTCATAATAAATTAGGAAGCAGTTCTTAAGGTTTTACCTTAAGTAACAGTATTTTACCTGAACTCAAGTATAAATTTATTCGCACTTCACAGTAAAAAATATAATTATTAACTTCTATATCTCCAAGATATGCAAATGAAAGACTGTATAAAGTAGTTAATAAATGTGATCAAAAGTATTTCATACAAAAATATAACTAAATCTAATAACCAAAACAAAATTCCCATATTCATATAAAAAATGAAATAATAACCTAACAAACAACATACATGGCAGCACCATTTAAGAAAAAACATGAACTAGTAATGTTTGAAAGTATAAATAGCAGAAAGAAGGTAACAGAAATTTAAAATTAATACAAAATTATTTGTGTTTTTTAAATAGTAAGCAATTAAAAGTGCAATAGTTATGGATTGCAGTATTTACTAGTAATGCTGATGTTTCTTAACATTATTTCTTTTGATCATATGTTAATGTATTTACTTATTTTTAGTTTCTACATTTTAGAATAGCGATAGATTACAACGATTATTTCAAGCATTTTTTATAATCAATAACTTTCCTTTTGTTACTGTACAGAAATAATTTAACCCTCTGAGGGGCACGGGTTTTTGGATGTCTTGAAGACCTGTATTCAAAGACACTTTATTAGCTAAATTTGTACATTTACTTACTTTAGGCTCTATTTTCATAAACGTATTACATTTATTAAGATGACATTTATATTATTAAAGAAAGTAAGAAAGTAAAATATCATAAATTATAAGCTATTATATAACAAATGACAAAAAATCTCATGACCAGATGAAGTCGGCCATTACGCTCAGAGGGTTAAATAATATAGTATACGATAGCAAACTAAGTACGTTAATGTAAGCTCTTCGTTAAATAGAACATTTTGTTTCTATTTATTATGAATTTCTTCGTCATCACAAGCACATAAAAAGTAAGAGGAGACAATAGAATATACTTAAATTTAATAAAGAAATAAAACCCAATTTCCAACATTCATTTATTGAGACACTATTTCATAGAAATGTTAATGTTTCCTTAACACTATTTTTTTTAATCATACATTTCATACACTGTTTAAAATCATTAAACTTTTCTGCATACTATGCAAATTACAACATACTATAGAATGTGCCTTATTATTAATTTTAATGTATTGCTTCTTGCTGTTACATACATCTAATTCATCTTCAGCAGTCATGTTAAATACTGGTACCAGTCCAATAATTTCTTTGTATTTTGAAAATAACGAACATAACTATAACAGCTTGAACTGTTATTGCTTCTGCATTGATTGCATTTTCAGCAAAACCAGAAAGTGCCTTGCCATTGTATGTTACTTTTTGGTTCTATATGACTTAATTCTGAGAACCAACCTTTCAATATGAACACAATAATCGATTAATATGAATAATATACAATATAGCACTTAGGACCAGAGTATTCAAATATTGCACTGCTGAAACCACAGAAGATTGGAGAACACCAGTATATAACCTTTTAATCACCGGAAACACATAAAACACCAAAACAGAACACTATTTCATGAACACTATATTCACAATTAGCATTGTAGCATGTTCGATATTTTTTAAATAATGTATCCAAAATTTTGGTGTCTTCTTGTAGAGCAGATATTCAAAAACAAAATAAGCAAAAATTCGGCATTACCACGATGATTTCTCCTCAATTAAAAGAAAACTGACATCGTTCTCTTGCTGCGTTGAAGCTCTCCAGTATTTAATTCTGACGGTGAATTGCAAAACCATGCAGAAAACATTCCTGAAAATAAGATGGAGGAGTAAATTTATCGCACAGTTAACCAATGTGTTCGAATTTGGCAGGTAGCCAAAGCAAGCAAGCCTCGAGCTCCGATGTTCGTTTATATAATCATCCAGTAAATAATATACACGGAATGTCAATTGGTCGACCTCAATTCAATGTAATTTTTCAGAGATTTATACGATTGCATTAAACCTTTCGATGATTCTTCTGATAATTTATTAGAATCTTTCTTAAATGGCCTAGAAGAATTATTTCAATTGAATAGAATTATGAACAATGTTCACAAGATTATATTTACAAAAAATATTTATTGGGCTCGCTAAAACATAATGTCAATGTCGCTAAATACCACGTGTACCATACACCAGGATTAAACCAAGCATTTTTGAATACATTTAGATGGACAAAACCGTAAAAACATAACAGTTCATCAGAACTTTTATAAGTAATGAATTTCGTATTTTTGTTCAGTTTCTTTAATTTTGATGTCAACATTTATTAATAATTTATCGAATCTATTAATTTTGTCATTTTCCATCAAAAGTGTTAACATTTCTTTCTCCTTTTCCATTAATTTTTCCATTCTGCTTCTCCTGACTGTCGGTGAGTTTTCTGTCATATATGCATCGTCTTTTAACATTGGACAATTTCTCGAAATTCTTTAAATCGGCCCATTTTTATCCGTGAATACATCTTCATGAACAATCATATCTTCGCGAAAATTGTACTTTTTGATCTGTATGTGGTAAAATGTTTCATATTATGTCAGCATATTAATTCAAATAAATTCGCCCTTACTTCAAAAAAAATAAATACAGTCAAAAGTCGTTAATCCGGACTCGTCGGGACTTCGGCGATTCCGGATTATCGATTTTTCCAGATTATAGATCATCAGTTTGAATCTCGTAAGATGGCATGCAGAAATTCTAAAATTAAAAATATGAAACCTTAATTTATGAAATAAAGAACAATTATAATCTAAAGGGTATCAAAATTTACAAAAAAAAAGCTTAATATTTATTTGTTTACTTTATTAAACATTTCTTTCAATGTAAGTTGTTTTAAGTTGCTTTGTTTTGTGTGATAATAGTTTCTCTTTAATTCTATAAACAGAAACAATTTCTTGTTCAGTAACAAAGTTCCGCTGTTCAAGTCCCGTTAATTGTTGTGCCGAGAATACCGACTAACTTGTCAATCGAAATTTTTTCGTTTTCACTAATCTCTCTGTCACATTCTTCATGTCTTTATCCATTTTTTGCAGCAATTCCACTTTTTGTTTGATGGACATCGAAACATACTTTCGTTTTGTACAATCCTTTGGGAGCTCTAGAATCGGAAATTCTATTTGACATAATCAAAAGTTCAAGTTTACTTTTATAAAATTGCTCTTACAGTCTGCAAAAAATAATAAGCCAGATCCAATTCGAAGATTAAGGAACAACGCAATCAACATTAACTGAAATAGATAATTAGATAATTTTAGATTACACCGTCCGCTATACATAAAAAGCGCATGCGGAAACATATTCTGCGCTTGTGCACACGCATATGCGCAGTGGTAAAAGGTCTTACGCGCACGCGTAAACGCCTATGCGCATGTGTCAACGTGGCGCATGCGCAGGAAGTTTTTAGCTTTGAGGTACGGATTATAGATCATTCCGGATTATGAGTGTCCGAATTAACGACTTTTGAGTGTAGTCATATTTCAGTAGTGAAATAATTGCTAACATACAATTTGCATTATTTTGGAAATATTTGATTTTAAAATACATAAAATGCATAACTTAATAACTTACTTTCAAGGATTTGTTTCCTTTTTAAATATTTTGCTATAATATTTAATTTATAGCAAAATTAGGGCATCTGGATTCCAAATTCTGGAAACCCTAATTTGGAATCCAGGTGCCCTAATTTTGAATCCAACTTGAGGATACAAAATTATTCCAAATTAGGGCATCTGGAAGCCCTAATTTGGAATTTGTTTTATTATCAATCATTATGTAACACTTTAACAAATTTTCAATTACTAAACTCAACGTTTTCAAAGGAAGCAATGGCAACATTGTACCAGGGGGGGAGGGAATTATCTCCAGCCTGTGAGACTGTATATCGGAAATTCTAAAGATATACCCATTTAAAAATTATTTTGAGATATCGCTGTTGAATTGGATTTTACGGTTTAAGTGCGAAGAACATGATATTTAATAAAGATAACACACAAAACTTTA